TTTCCGGAAACAAAATTTAGGTAGATAATGGCATGAGTGCTCCTCTGGCTGTTTTAAAACACCTCCTGAAAGGAAATGTTCCACACATAACAGTCCATTAGGATTATTGATGCCACTAACATCACTTAAAATTCTGGAATAAATACTCAGGGACTTTTTTTAAACAATTTAGTTTAATTTTTAAACAGTTTATACGGACAAAGCACACACCCGTCAAAGATTGAGGATTTTACAAAGAGGTCAATTTCAGCTAAGTTGCTATACATCCTTGGGGTACAAAAACAGTTAAATTGTAAACTTTTTTCAGTCTGAAAAGGCAAGAAAAGATACTGAGTAAATAATGAACAAGCAACGGCAGACATAGCCACAGCAAAACCAACTATGTTAAATCATCTACCCTCCTGAAATTTATAAATACAGAGGATCCCTAATTTATGTGGGTAGTACTCTAATTTCTGTGAGTAGCAAAAGAAGACACAAGAAGACGCTGCATAATGAACTCACAACATTTTAAACACTACATCTAAGAAAAATATGGTGATAAAGTAATCATTTAAATTAGTTCTGCCCTGAGTCCTCACAAGAATCTGTGGAAACTTGTTTTCGTGGAAAGTAGTAATTAAGACATAAGCCTATCTAAGAAGCATGGAAGTACAGCCTTTTATAGCACTAAATTTTACTTTTGAGAAATTTTCCTTTTGCGAAGTTCCGCCACTCCAAACCAGATCGCGATCCAGAAAAGTGACCCTGGTTTTCTGCAAGGAGGATCATAGCACTTATGCTAATCCCCACGACTCCCTGAGGATGAGACACCAGCTTCAAGAAAATGACAAATGAGCTCCATTGTCTTGAATCCTACCACAAAGCACTCACGATTTGTTATTTCCTAACCCAGGACTTTCCATAATGGTGATTTGTTTCACAGCATGGAGAGTTTCCCGGTAAATTTTGATACACCAAATCCTTAAAAGAGGAAGTTGGCAACATGTGAAGCTAGATGTGCACGATCAATCATTCAACATTTATATGATTTCATTACATGTGATAAAAATATAAACTTCAGAGTGAAATTATTTTTTCTAAACACATATGATTGAGAAAGATTCAATAATAAATAAAACAAATTTGAGTCTTAAATTCATCCAAGGTAAATAAAATGGAAAACAGGCTTCAAATTTTAGATGTACACAAACACACAGATTGGTACAAAGATACTTCAACATCATTGTTTCAAAATATTTGCAAATTTGTCTTAAAGAAGATACTGTCAGTAGTGTCAAAATTTTGCTGAATTTTGATTGGTTTTTAAATCTGAGAAGATTAAAAACAATTAAAATTTAGAACTGGTTCAAAACAAAGAGGAGGCTAGAACTCTTTCTCAGTGTATCAGAGGGCATATGGGCAAATTTTAATTAAAGAGAAACTGCATTTCTTCATTTCCCCAAAACTCTTGCTGGTGAGCAGCTTTGTGTTCTCATGCTAGTAAGAGCCAAGTTACTCATGCTTTCGTTAACACTGTTAGCCATGGGAACCTTTGCCATTCATACACAAATTGTTTGCTTTCTTCTTTCTCTGTCAGCTCTCCCATCTGAAAATGATGGAGAAAGCCAGCATTGTTAAAAGTTACTATTTTTAAAAAGAAGTATTTAATTATATAATTAATAATGTCAAGAAGACAGTGTAGAGCACAAAATCATTTGTGATACCTAACTATCAAGCAAATTAAAGCCAATTAAAATGGTTTAAAAAGATTATTATTCACAGCCATGTTTAGATTAAATAACAGATTCAAAAAAAATTATGGGATTCTTTATAACTAAAATCATGTTGTTTATATCTTGAACAGAAATTGCTAGGAAGAAGTACTGCTTTTAGAAGTAGTCTTTAGAGAAGCAAAAACATTTTCAAGGTTTTTTGAAAAATTATTCCCTGAAACACATTACCTTGTTTCTCCTGAAGAATGAAAGAAAAACAGCCAAAAGAATAACTCTCCTTTATTGGACACAAATCTTATAATCTAATATGCACACAGATTTGCAATGATTGTATACTTTAAATGCAAAAAGGGAGGTTGAGTTTAGCTGTATCTGAAATTATGAGCTAACTAATGCAAAAATAGTAATGAAAATAGATTGAAGAACATATTAAAATTCTCCTTACTCAAATGCGTTTACATTTTAAGACACATAAAGACAAAATTTAAGACAAAATTAATTTAAGCCAAGTTAATCTCTTTCAGAGATTAAATTAATCCCTTTGAAAAGGAAAAAAAAAGTCCAAAAATGTGTATTTTACCATTAATAACTATTCACTTGAGAATTATACGCTTATCAGAACTTTTAAATGATACTAATATTGTATGAACTTTGAAAAAAGATACTAATATTAATTCTAGGAATTGACACTTGAAATATCTTAAAATAAGTATCACAGAAAAAAATGTGGAGAAAATACTTCGAGAGAATAAACAAAAAAAAAAAGTGACAAAGACAAATCATAGCAGTTGTGCAAAACATAATTTTTGTCAAATTCCAGCTAACTATCAGGTTATCTATGAAGAGTACAGAACTTGTAACTATAATGTAGTTTTTCAGAAACTAACATTTCAAAAATGTTTCTAAAAGTACATTAAAAAAAATACAAAAGTACCTTATAAAAAAAAAAGTAGAATTGAAATCTGCATTACCAGAAAACTCCTCATAGGTGTAAGGCAGTAAGTCTGAAATCAAATTATATTGCATGCTTAAGTAACAGTGTCACCAATGTCGTTTATAAACCAAATCCTAATATGGAGAGAAGGAAAGACAAATCATATTTAGAAGTCACAAGATGGAAGAGATCTTTATCTCACCTAAATTCATCATATCTGCAACTGAATTCAGCACTCACAGTCATGAAACCATTTTATAAACAACAGAAATAAAAACAATTATGGAATTGGATGGAATTCATTTCAAGCTCATAGAGAGATGCTAGTTAGTCAGAGGAATGAGCCTTAGAAGTGCCATTAAAGAGATCTTACACATCGCAACATTTGTAGATATCTACAGGAAAAAAAATGTGAAAGAAAGCGGCATGGAAGTATCACTTGGCAGAGCAAGTTCTACCTTAAAAATCACTGTTGTGTAGGAGTTAATTAAGACTGTATTCCACATTGGTACAATCATGTAGCAAGTTCCAATGATGACAGCAGTTTCAGAATCATAAATTAAGATAAGCCATAAGGCAACTGAGATAACTGAAAAGTAACAACTGAAAAGGAACAAAAACGGAAGCTGTGAAATTGTACAGAAAATATGTATTTTTTTTTTATTCAGATTAGGGATAATGTTTTCAAATTACAAAGCTTTGCATGCAATGGTGAATTCTGAAGTATTTATAGCATCTGATGGCCCTTGAAATCAGACAGCTTCTGTCTTTCTAATGGATAACAGCAAAATGCTTATCTTTGGTAATTAATTTGAAATATTGTAGTAGGCAATGACTCAAATAAAAAGATGACAGAAATAACACAGAAGAAGATATTAAAAACTGTGGGATATTTTTTCTAGAAATGTAGCTGGGCATTTTATTTGAGAAGTGTTAACATAAACAGATAACAGCCTGAGAAAATCTATAAAGTAAACAGAGATTTAAGAGTTTCATTCCCAAACTATTTCTGAATACTGCCAGAAGTAAAATATCAAACAAAAGTTATCCAAATTTTTAGATTTATTAGATTTTTAGAGTGCTTTTGTTTTCCCCTTTTCTAAACAAAGTAATGTATGAATGTTGTCTGTGTCAATATCCACAGCATCAATACAGGATTTCGTGAGAGCCTTCACTGAAGAGATCAAGCAACTCCACCTCTCTGATTCCTTTAGTCAGTCTCTCTGACGATGCTCAAAGACAATATTGTAGCAGCTTATGCTCATTTAACATTTGGAAGATTGTTTTCCTTTCCTCATTCCCCACAGCCATATGGATTAGAAACTCATTTATTTCTCTTTGTTGTGAAAACACAAACTGAAGCAGAAGCATGTAGCAAATTCAAAAAGAAGGATAATTATGCAACAAGTAAGACACTGCATAATCTCATTATACCATAGATGGAGTTTGACAAAAACAGAGTGAAAAGAACATTTACAATTAAAAATCAACAAAATTAAAATGCATAAAATGAAACACATTTTAACACACTGCTTAACTGCATCAAGAAACCACTGAAGCCCAAAGCTTAGCAAGCTTCAAAAATGATTTTGTTCTTCATATGTATAAAAGAAGGACAGAAATAACACTGACAGGATAAAATCACAGCCTTCAGTCCAGACTGGTAACCATTGTCAGTCAAGGAAAACTGTAACTGTGGGTTACGGGGTAAAACTATCATTCAGTGTTCTGTGTGGGCTTTGGATATACCTTGGTATAAGTATCAAGATTCTCACTAGAATTTCTAGGATTTAATAGGAATTAAATAGATTGGAACACCAGAAATTAGATTCTGAATCACAGCGGAACAACAATAAGACTCTATATTAATTGATTCATACTGATTTTTTTTTTCTAATAATCTCAGAAATTTGTTTGGTTTAGATTTTGATTTCTTTGTGCTGATTCTTTCTCTCACTAAAATCAGATTAAATATTCCAGAAAAACAAAGCATATAGTGCTATTGTATTTTTTTTCTAATTAAAAAAATAAGTTTAACACATTAGCATTAAAACTTTGGGAAAATAACCTTACCATACATAATAAAAAAAGATTTTTAGTCTTCAGCATATATGTTTGCAGCTCTTAATAGAATAATGCTAAGACTAGGTTTTTGCTGTTTGTTTCTTAAAGCCCTTTATTTTGTCAAAAACTAAATTAGGTTTTATATTTAATTATTTATTTTAATCTCTTTCAGTGTTGCTCTTTACATTACACTGCTTTGCTTGATAAATGCTTGCAACAACATATGGAATAAATACTTTATCTCTTCCATTGAAACCTCATCTCCAGTATTAATGGAACATACATACCCAAATGCTTTCTTTCTGACGATACTGCTTCCAGTTTCTTCCACTATCGCTGAACATCAGCAGGTAGCTGGTTACCCAGTTGGAGCTCCCATATCCACCTTGAGTAGCGACAGCAGTAATCTCCGTTCGTTCACCAAGGTCAATCTGAAGCCATTGGTATTTATTGGACACAAGTGGAGACCAACCACCGGCACCTTGAAAGGGGAAAAAAGATGGAAAATTACCATTAATAGATACAAGTTACCATGAAATGTGTACGATTCAAGATGCACCAGATCTGGCTTGCTACTACATGTCAATTAGCATAAAAATGCATATGGATTACTCGGCTGGATGTAACCACTTAAAACTATAAAAAGTCAGAGTGGATTTCCTTTATTCCTTATCTCTCTCTAAAATTAACTTTTGTTATGGATTCTTCTGAGTACCTTTTATTCAATTTGGCAATGTTCTTCCAGTAAATACAGCAGATTTTTATTTGTTTTATAGATCCCTATTTCTATTACTTCCTAAATGCTAGAGAAACTGTTGAGGTTTCTTTCAACCTGAATGATTCAGTGTGATTTTGTGTTTCAAAAGGGCTGGATATACAAGTGCATATATGAAGCAAGAAAGCACAACTGGGTGATAAACTTGTGGGTCTCTTTTAAAATAACCTATTTGTGCACAAAACAGAATAAAGTATGAAATCTACACATGCATACTTTCAATCACAACATCACACATCACAGAATAACACGGAATAGCAGAATGGCTAAGGGAACCATTGGACCTCTATGGATCATCTAGTCCAACCCCCCTGCTCCAGCAGGGACTCCTAGAGCACATGGCGCAGGGTTGCATCCAGGCGGGTTTTGAAGATCTCCAGAGAAGGAGACTCCACAACCTCTCTGGACAGCCTGTTCCAAGTGTCTGTCACCCTCACAGTAGAGAAGGTCTTTCTCATATGCAGATGAAACCTCCTGTGTTTTAATTTGTACCCCTTGTCCTATCGCTGGCCACCATGAAGAACAGTTCAGCCCCATCTTCTTTAAATCCTCCCCTCAGGTATTTATACATATTGTTCAGATCCCCTCTCAGCCTTCTCTTCCCCAGACTAAAGAAGCCCTTAGCCTTTCCTCATAAGATAGATGCTCCAGTCCCATAATCATCTTTGTTGTTCCACACTGGACCCTCTCTAGAAGTTCCACATTGCTCTTGCACTGAAGAGCCTAGAACTGCACACGATACTCCAGGTGTGGTCTTACTAGAGCTGGGGAGAGTGGGAGGATCCCCTCCCTCGACTTGCTGGCAACAGTCCTCCTAATACTGGCCAGGATCTCATTGGCCTTCTTGGCCACAAGGGCACATTGCTGCCTCATGGGTAACTTGTTGTCAACCAGGACTGCCAAATCTCTCTTTTCAGAGCTGCTTTCCAGCAAGTCAAACCCTAACCTGTACTGGTGCCTGGAGTCATTCCTCCCCAGGTGCGGGACCCTGCACTTGTCCTTGCTGAACTTCATGAGCTTCCTCTCAGTCCGATTGTCCAACCCGTCCAGGTCTCCCTGAATGGCAGCACAGCCCTCTGGGTTTTGGCCCCTCCCACTTACTTTGGTATTCTCAGCAAACTGTTTGAAGGTGCGTGTTGCCCTCTCATCCAAGTCATGGATGAACAAGATGAACAACACTCAGGGGAGTACTGATCCCTGGGGGATACCACTGGCCACAGGCCTCCAACTAGACTTGGCCCCATCTGGGGGCCAGGGCCCATGTATGGAAATGTAAATGGAAATGGAGATGGAAATTTCTATAATCTGTAAAGCCATTAAAAATCTCCCATGGGAAGCAGAGGCCAGACCTTGAGAAAGATGATGTTTGCCTGCCTAGGCTGAGCGATAAGGAGCAGGGATGCAGCTGCTCAGCCCAGTTCGCAGGCAGCCCACTCCGAAAACCTGTTGAAGGTGTCTGCTCGGCCGGGCTTGTAGCCTTCATAACTGCAGACATGCTGTAAACTAGTTTTGAAGGTCAAACACCCGAGAGGGAGGAAGAAGAGGAGGAAGGCAGGACCCTCAAATTGAGGGCTGAGACCCCCAACTGGTATGCGTGCCTGCACACCCAGGGGTGGAGAGTAGCGCAAGTAAAGGCAGAATTTGTCCGCCCCTCAGCCTGCCTCCTGGATCATACTGACCCTACATGCCAGGATGCGCCAGGCATAGAGAGGACAGTGTGGAGAGAGCAGAAGGAAGAGAAGCTCAACTCTGAGGCCTACCCTGTCTCTGCGGGAGCCGGTCAGCAACCCTCTCTCTCTGATCTGCCAGCTCAAGAGGATGTTTGGGTCCAGTATCCTGCCAGCAGGTATCACCTTATGAGTAGTTATCCATACTTTGCTTCTTTTATGTGCTTTTACCTGAATAAATGCTCGATGTAGTCACCTTATTCTGGCATGATTATTGTCGAATCCCGAGCCCATCCGGGACAACCCCCGAACCTTCAGAGGTCCTCAACCCTCTGAACTCTGTCATCTAGCCAGTTCCCAGTCCACCTCAGTGTCCACTCATCTAACCCACACTTCCACTTCCTGAGCTTCCCCATGAGGGCATTATGGGAGACAGTGTCAAAAGCCTTGCTGAAGTCAAGGTAGACAACATCCACTAACTGAAACATAACAATGTTTAAACTTATGATATGAAGTTTAAAGATTGCTTGTGTATTTAACTCTTCATCCAAACCAGGATTTACAACTTCATGCAAAAATTTTCTTTAAAATATTTTGACTTAACTCCCAAGGAGTTTCTTCCCTTATTCATTTACCTGTGAAAACAGACAACAGATCAAGGATATACCTATATATATATATATTTAAATCCCTGCTCAGCTATAGTCTCCAACTGTATAGTCTCCAAGAAGAAACCTCAGAAAATTCAGCAGGTGTGAAAAATGCTGTAGGTATATACATATACATATATACATATGGTTTCTTCATGAACTACCTATTCGTCATACTACCGGAGACTGTACAGTTGGAAACAATACAGTCAGACACTATAGCTGAGCAGAGATTTAAATTTCACCTTCATCTTAATTAGTGATTTATTTATTTAGTGAACTTATTTATAAATAACTGAGTCTCGGTATTGACTTAAGGACAATCATAGCATCACAGCAATCCTTTCCCAATAAATATAGTGTTTTTTTAGACACTATAAGAAAATAATGCAGAAGCTCATAACTTGAAAAACGAAATGAAGCAAAACAACCAGCCTAACAAAAAAGAGTGCTTCCACTTGCATTATCTGGTAAATGCACTTAACTAAAAATTAAGAAATACAGATATTTCTAAGAAAATGAATATTTTGAATAAGAAGCACAGAAGGTAGCATTCTGATGATGATAGGTATTCAGAAAATTAAAAATATATGACAATATATAATTGCACAGACTTTGTCATATCTGTCCGTGCTTCTTGAGGGGGTACATGTGTGTAGGTCTTTAATAATGTAAACAGAATTCTCTCCTTGTGTATGCTAAAATCTAAAAATGAATTTTAGTAACATAACAAGAGTTTTAGAAAAATCTGTTTTTATGCACTACTGCTTGAATTAGCCAAGTGATTATTACATTAAAAACAGAAAATAACTCAGGAATACAGTGAAAACATAGATAAATGCTAAAATAGCCACAAGCAAGTTCATTCATATTCAGCTATGTTTTCCATAAGCAAAAAGGACATTATCGAGAATAAAAAAGTCTGCTTATTTAAAATAAAAGATGTGAGTTTTTGTTCAGTGTTTATTTTCAACTTCATGTACTGTAACGTTCTTTATTCTTTAAGAAGAATTTACTGTATCAGTATTTCAAGGTGCTGGGTGCTCACACTCAGCAAAAATATAAGTCCATAAGGACATATGAAGATAGTTATAAAACAAGTTCCCAGCTTTATTACAAATAAATAAATAAATAAAGCTTTCAGAATCAGTTTGTTTTGCACAGAGAACAAATTAACATCTTTAATTCTTTTTACAAGCTTGGAGAGAGCAAAATTCACCCATTACAAGGCACTCCTGGAGTGCAAAACCCCTGACTGAGTGATGCATTAAAAACATTCTGGCAGTCACTAGCAAAGGATGTACAAGGATGTACAATGTCTCTCACAAGGCTATGGTTGTTTTCCCGCCACCCAGCTCCTGCTCCCGTGATGCCTCATCCCTTGGTGGTCCTGGGACCCTCCTGAGCTCTGCAGACCTCATGCAAGCAAGTCCAGCCCAATTAAGGGGACTGATGCCCCTCAGGGCAGGGCATCATGACTCCCTTCTCATTGACAGGTCACAACAATCCATGTCATCTCATGTCACAAAGATTAATGCTCAGTTACTGACACCCACTGCAAGGGAGCTGGATCCTCTTTGAAATGCAAGGCCAGGGGTTGCAATGAGGTCAATCAGAAATGCCAAAAGGCATCTTGCTTCACAACTGGCAGACTGGACAGAAAATCAGGGATTATGAGAACTATACAAAGTGGCAAACCATTGCGAATACAGAATGAACTTGAGTAATAAATTTCCTTCATTCGAGTCCTAATCATTTTTAAGTACCAACATATGTCTCATCATTTTCCAAACAAATCATGTGACTTCTGGGGACTTTTAATTGCAAACTGGAGATGGTTGAAACATAAAAAAAAAAAATAAAAATCAATTTCCCATTAAAATTACCAAACAACATTTGGTTTACATAAAAATTCTTTTTTTTTTTCTCAAAGAAAGTAAAAATATATTTTAAAGGTCAACGAATACTCTCCAAATCAGTCAATTTTTGAAAACACTAAATACTAGAGGAACATTTATGAATACTACATGTCTTTTCTTATGAACCTCTTCCTCTACTTTGGTCTGAGACTTGAAGATTTTGCAGGAGATTCCCCATTTGACACCTGACATTTAAGTTAGTAAAAATTAAATCAGCAAGCTCACTTTCTGTGTGGCTCCACTAATATTTCCCGTGGCTTCCCTTGGAACACAGCAAGTCAAAAAAGTCTCCCTTTAACACTGCTGCTTTGGAAGGAATGAGCAGTGTCATCTCCCAGAAATTTCACTGCTTACATCTAAAATGCTTTGTTGCAAAGTCCCCAGCCTCAGCGTTTGCATCCACAGGGTTTTACTCTTCAGTGGCTGTGCAGAGAAAACTGGTGCATATTACCTAAGACCAGGCAGCTCAA